TCATTGCGTCTTATTAATTATCTACGCGTTTATTCTGTATTCGTATAGTAGTTACCTTTGACTGTGATGAAATGGATTACTTCATGTCTCTTTATGCATATCCTGTTTTCCGATGGGTCTAATTTTCGCTGAGATAGTATAGATCATTTTATGCCTATTGCCCGTATTCTTCCCTCTAATAATTTGCCTTGTTGCTATAATAGGATGGGATAATTTTATATCTTGGGTTATGTTCCCTTTATAAAGTTCCATCTTATAGTAATAATTCTCCTTTTAATGTTTCAATCCTTTTAAGACCCGTTTAGCAACACTCTATCTGTGAAAGGTTACCATTTTTAGACGAAGTATTGCTAATTTTTATTTTCTTTTCATAAAACGATGGTGGATAAATTAGTTAAAAGAAATGGAAGAGAGCTGAATAAACACGACGTTAAAATAATAATTTAATGGTATTATAATAGTGGAAAGCAACAATTGCTCTTGCATTCTTGATCTACCATGCAGGCGAAAATTGAATAGAAACGTTTAGAAAATATTGACAATAATAATTAATACTGTAGAATTGATCTTTGGTCTTGATTGTTCTTACCTAGCCGATATCCTTTTATTAGGGCATTGGATCAAATTTTACTTTTAGCCAATTCATTGTCAATGATCGTGCTACCTCTTTTCAAATTTCTTGACCGACCTCCCTTATTCTTGCTTACGTTATAATTAATTGTTTAGATAGGATAGCATGACATTTATGAAGCACATGCTTAATCTGTCATCTTGTTAACTATTCTAACCTAATATAGTCCAATCTGGGGGTATATAAAAGTATTACTGACGTAGCGTAATTTTTTAACATTTTATCCTAACGAAGTTGGTCATCTGTAATAGGATTACATTTTCATCTTGAGCTTAGAATGCTTTCAAGTTAAGGCACGAAAGTTGAATTTTTCAAGTCTGGTAAGCTTTGTTGGTTATTATATTAATTTAATTTTAAAGTGTAATGTATACAAGTATAATTAAATCGAATCTTAATCTATTAATCATGGTATTAATATTAGAAAATGCTTAAATTATGAGAGTAGTAAAATTCATCACCGTTTAATCATTGCTATTTGCTTTTGGATCAGTATGATTGCCAGCGCTCAATTTTGATCTAGCTTTTACGCGACTACAATAGTTACTGAAAAGGATGTTCATACATCCAGGCCAGCGTATGCCGTCGTTTTTTTTGATAAAATAACCATATCAATATGCTCCAATGATCCTAGCATTTATACATTGAAATGTACTCACATCGGTGTAAAATTCGATTCTTTTTCTTTAACGCATCTGACTATTCTTGTCGTTTAAAACTTTTCTAGTACTGTAATCAATATAACAAGTTTCTGCTTACCCTAGAATGGACAATGTCGTCAACCACGATCACGATAGAGCGACAGATGTTAATTCTTTACCAAAATTATTGGGAGAGGGAGAAAAGTGGAAGAGAAAATGATTTAAGAATATCATACAATAAGACATTAGGACGGAACTACTATCTACTTGATCATGATCACACTGTAAATCTGTTAATTATCGTAGACATCAGAATTATCGATGCATCTATGATAAAATAATACATATACACTACAGTATGCCAATCAAAAGTGGCTTATAGCGCTATGTGTAATGCAGTAGCTAGTAAATAGGTGATACTACTTCGCAGCGGTAGCAATTCTGTAATGAATATATCCATCTTGTCAATTCGAAGTAAAATTACACAGATAAGACAGTATTTCATGGTCTAAAACCACCGACATTACCATTATATGAAGTTACAAATGTTGAATTAATGCTAGAACAGAAAGTACTCATGGGAATCTATTTTGATAACTACCCTGGAAAATAGACAATAGTGACAGCTATAGCCTCTCTTGCTATAGGAATCGAACGACAAATCATCCATAGAGATACGCATCCATCACCGTAGATAGACTAGGGAAGTAATTTAGGCCCGGTATTTTTAAATTGATAACAGGATAAAGATCTTAAGTTGGTTACAAACCTATCTCGTATCCAATAAATCCCTGTTAAATAGATGATAATTAATCCCTTGTATCAATATTGTACGCACACAACTTGACTTTTAAACCAGGAAAAATGACTAGCAATCAATATTTTCAGATGATATCAAATAGTATTTTGTACAACTTTTAGAAAGCCATTCTGTGTCGAATAAATCAGTTTTAGATTGATAAGAATCATTTTAGTGTACAGTAATGTACAACATAACTAGTAAATGAGTGCATGAAAGCAGACTACTCCAGAAACTACTCTTACGTGCTTGAATTTACGGTCTGTCGTCAGCTTGTTTAGGTAATTATCGAAATCAGGAAATAAAAATAATAAAGGATGCACAAACATAAAGTATTCAACACCTATTTCTCCCATTTAGAGTTCTATAGTCTTCAAAATATCGTTAGAACAACTTTATAATTATCATTACCACAGCGATGGACAATCGTGTTCTAATCCTGCCTTTTTTAATCGAATTGAATAAATAAATTTTTTCTAATGGAGAATAGTCTTAATTTTCCTTTTACAACGAATATTAAAAATGACCAAGTCTATATGGATATAAAGTATTTTAGATAGTCTTTTGGTTTTAGAGAGCCATAATCTTAAAAAAATAGAGGATACTTATATTTCCTTTTTGATCTACTATTAAAATGATAAAGAATGCAAGGAACATAAAGTATTCAAAAAATATGATCTCAAATGTATCTTTAGAGTAACTGTTAGTAAATATATAGCATTAGAGCATTAGATAACTATCTATTCATTCTAGCTATAAATCTAATATGATTCATAAAGTATAAAAATAGAGAGTACTATGACTTCCGCTTTAAATTCTAGTATTAAAATATTCGAGAATGCACGGATATTTTTAGAGTTTAACTCCTTTAATTAAGATAGTTGTGATCTCAATGGTAAATAGAGAATACCATAATTTACTTTTCAGTCAAGCAATAAATTAATCAAGGATTCAAAAACACTATGAACTAGAAGATATATCTTTGAAACAATTCTCAATTGATCATTATACAATTAACATTAATGGCAAATGTAATATTAATGCTGCCTACTAATCTAAACATGATATAAATATACCGTACCAATAGAGGATAAATTACTTAAATTTATCTTACTATCTAATATCAAAACGACCAAAAATGTGCCCCTATAGCGAATTCACGGTATCGCCTTTGCTTAGAGCGTGATCCTAAAAGATGCAGTGGAAACAACTCCAGTAATTATACGATATACCAGTAATAGCTGATGATATTATTGCCGACCAAAACTAACATGAAAAATAAAACTGAAGACATCGTAATTCTCCTCCAAGTTCACTATTAAAAAAAATATTTAAGAAAATGTATAAACGCAAAACATTCAAGATACGACGCTAGAATGATTTATTTTATTTGAGAAAGATGATATGACAAATAAAATAATTGACGGTGAATATCTACGGATCACTGCTTTCTTAGTAGTTATAAGAACAATTCTAGAGAAATAGTGAATAATGCTATCAATCACTACACGACAAGAAAGTACTGAAAAATAGATTATTTCTTCTATAATCGCACCATAAGCTATTGTTTTTAAACGATAAACACTAAACAGAATTGCGTTCATATAAATTCCTTAATAGAAGCTTATTGGTCATCAAATTTTATTACAAATCAATATATACAAAATTGATGATTAAGGTCAAAACTAATTAGTTACAACTTGTAATGTAAAGGAGAATAGTATTGAATCACGACTATGTATGTAAATACTATCTTGAAGTCAATTTGAAATATGTTAATAGCCTTCTCAATAAGTCTCCTTTGCTAGTAGTTGAAACCGATAAAACATTTTTGATTTGGTTTACTTTAAACTTAAAATTTACATTATTGGTTTGATTTTCGGTATTGAACTCGTGAAAAATTTCACACCTAAACCAAACATGATCAAGGGGGTAATTACAGTACGATAGAAGCGATATAAAAGATCATAACAACTATTTCAAAAAATCTTGCTATGTTTATAGACTGTGTAATCAAAATTTTCTTAGTCACGTGTTGCATTTATCAATTATAATTATTGATTCCTTCGGTGACAGTTATTATTTTTGCAAGAACATAACATGCATTAATGATTGGTATGGCATAAAACTGATGTGTATAACAATCCACATTACTAGAGTAGCTCTCTTTCTTACAAGCATATAACGATATGAATCTATATGCTACGCCTATCCTTAAGACCGGTTTTGCTCTTCAGGCTATCTATTTAAAGATACACTTCTTTTCTTTATCAATTTATTTGATTTCTCAATTCTAAGAGCGTTACACGTATTAATAACTAGCAATAATCTGTATCAATCTAATAGCTTGTTTTTCCATCAAATGAGTCTCCGTAAATTTTTGGCATAGCCTCTAAGTCAACTTACTTAATTATTTGAATGCAAACCACATCTTTGAATCAGATTGATCAATTATATGCTTTCGACAGAAAAGTGTCTGCTGATTAATGGAATTACGGATCAATGTTGATATTTCTATTAATTATTATCGAGAGGCGTTCCTTTGGTTAAGACAGCAAATAAACTGTTGAAAACTCATACTAACAGAAATTTTACGACTTCCATCATTCAATATTGTGCATTGAAATTTAAAAAAATACGAATATAAGTAGCCATCTGTTGATTGTATTGTTATAAAAATCAAATAAATTCAATATTTTCAATTGTTATTTGGTTGATTATCAGATAGCTAAGTCTAAGCGACAGGATCGTCAATATTCGAGCCACTGTTGTTAGTACTTTTCAATTATTATTGTAGAATATTCTATTTTACTGCCAAATTATCTTATATGAGCTCTGTTGAAATGGTTATTAACTACTTAATATTCATAGCTAGCTTCACAATTAACCATGTTTGTTATTGTTAACATCAGCTAGCAACAGATTGCCTCTCATGGAAGACCAAAAGGAAATTTCAATTCATGAAGAAAACCTATACGAATTTTTACGTTTTAGAGATCGGCGTGCACCACTGATTAATGGTCGTCAAGTCGTTGGTATATTATGGGATGCTGAAGTAAGCAATATAATCTATTATAGACGGTCTACACATATTTGAAGTAGATATTAGAAGAAATAAAAAAATTATCATACCATGATTACTCTTATCTTGACATGTATATTATTTCCAAATAACATTTGACGATTATGTTTATCTGTAATAAGATCGGATTTAAATTTTCTGTTACAAATTTAGTTTATACTAAATCATACTAGTAGGCTATTAAGTACTTCTTGATCTACAGATGAACAAAGTCAACAGCAGAAAAATTAACCAAACAATGATTGTACTACTCTCACAGTAATGCAGTGCGTTCCTCCTTCATAGGTGCTATTTTATGAATTCTCTTATTTTTTCTATCCTTAACGGTAGAAATTTTTTAAGGCGCTAAAATTATTTAAGCTGTTAGAATTGATCATACTACTAAATCATCATAATAGCTTCAGTAAGAAATACCATTTCGTTAGCGATCTATTTAGATGAATAGTATTTAACGTCTAGTAATGGATGTTATAGATACCTCTATGGTTTAAATTGGTTGCTTCCGTTGTAATTTTTTCCGCAGCATACTCTTAGTGGTAGAGCAGATAGTCTGAGACAGCACAATTTAATTCATTTCTATCAAACAATAAGCATTGTAAATAATATTATACATATATTCGATTAATTTCTATTTTTTGTATGTCCTGTAAGTTAAACTCAAATACTTTAACTAAATATAGTTGATTACAGCATGTGAAGATCTAAATGTAATAAATGTAAAACAATTTAGCTTTTAATTAAAATGTGATATAACTTTGCTCATTTTATAAAAAGAATTAGACTGATGATGTGCTTTCTACGTACTGATATATTTGATGGCTAGAACTCCTTCTGCAAAACAGAATTAAATATTGCTTTCCTGATACTAAGCTACTAAATGAGATCTTTAAAGGGTTCTATCCATCCCAATTGATTTTACAATGCTTAGTATAAATTCCTTTAAATGCTTCACTACAAATGTGCTCTGAGAAAAGTTACGGTGCTATAGGTTTAATTCTGTAAAAATGTTGTATGTTACTGATAATAGTGATAGCATTATTGCTATGACTAGCCAATAACAATATCGTACTCTGTAACTACCGGTAAAGATCAAGATTATATAACAACATACATGGAAATGGGTCTATAGTACTGTACGCATGTATCCTTTACATGAATAGCTTTATAAGTTCCTAAATCCTTAAATCTTGTATAATGTATTTTAACATGGCTTTAACAGCTTTATTGCATTGCTTATTATGTTCACCCAGTATTATATCATAAAAGCTACGTCATATTTATATTAATGTTCTTTCTAATTAATTTATCAGTTTATCGGTCGATTTCTTATTCATTGTCGACAGCAAAATCCACGCCAGTATATTAATGATAACATCGAAAGACTACGGGTAAGAAAGCTTTTATACGACAAAGTCCTATGATTCATGATAACTTAATAACTGCTATTGTAGTTATTAGTACTAATTTTACAGCAATAAAATTAACTAAAACATCTACTGCTACATTATCACTACAATTATTGTACAAGTATTTAGAGAAAATGCTTCAGCCTTATTCACATACTGGATACTACATTATGTAAATGAAAATACTTTTTAAATTGAACTAAAAATTCGCTGTCTGTATCTTAGAATACAGCTTCTAAACCCAATGAAATCCAACTTGGTATTTCTTTCGATCGAATTATTGCTTACGACCATTATAAACAGGTGAGGAAAATATTATGTACAAAGTTTATATTTCTATGTACATGATATAGATATTACTAATACTCGATCAATATTTATAACTATCTCAACAACGTTTTCTGAATCGGTGGGTATCCATGGCACACAAAACCGTAACTGGGAAACTACTCCTGTGCCACTACCTTATTTAAATATTCAAAGACATCAGTTTTAGACGCTGATTTATTAAATTTGCGTTACTGTACATGCAATCATTCAGAAAAATTGTTAACTCTTATAACAAGACACGAAAGAAGTGATTATGGAGAAACTTACGCATTGACAGCTCAATCTAAAACAGCAGTAAGTCTGGTAAAATGAAGTTATGTTCTTAATTTTAAATATTATCTACTCATAGACAATTTCTATTCCGTATAACGACTTAATATCGCTAATAATTTACGTACATAGTACGAGTATATAACATTTTTACATGATTAATTCAATCCTATATCAATTTTGCCTTAATTACAGCTTTATTATTAAAAATATCTAATAAATTATTTACATTAGATATTGCAGTACATCACAAATACAGTAACTAGCTTTATGCAGTCATCCTGTTCATCATTATCACTTATGAAATTATTTGATATACAAGTAGTTGAAGTTGAAAATAATGTAAAAATTGAAATATAGATTTCATATATATTATACATTCTAATATATGATTTCAAATATATTGGAGGAATCTTTATGAGGGGATTAAACCAAAAAGATTTTCAATTTTCATGATGTTATAGATTAAGAACATGGCTCGCTTAATTTCCAAAGCAATCAAGGATATTTATGAACGACTTGAAGAAGATACTGCTTATAAACCACCTAGTCCTTTGATATCAAATCGAAAATGGGTAAATCTATAGTTCAAAATTTTTTCTTAAATGCTACCCTAATCTATTAATTACTTATACTCATTGCAAATATATTTTTAAAGAATGGGAATCAAAATCAGCTATATATCTTGTCCACATACTTGATAATAGCTATTTGATTTTAATTACCTACTACAATATTATACCTAGTATCAATGAATTTTACCAATACACACATTATATTATTATACATTTGTTATCTATGACTTTTTTTAAGGTAATAAACAAGTATGTACGTACTAGATTAGCTTTTCTAAAGTAATTTTAATTTTACATACTAATTTAAGTAATTATAATATGCCGTATATGATTATGATAGGTAGCAAATAAGAATTATCGATAACATAAATTTATTTTGCTTAACGTCCCGATACAGTAATAGCAGCTAATTTTACGGGATACCTTATTTACTAGCTTCGTTATAACGTCTTGAAATTCCTAATTAGCAATGGTATTATTTTGTAATCATAACGATAAAAACGTTTTATGATTGACTAATTAAATGCACTATTTTCCATTTTCATACCAATATGTAGCTAAAACATGGCATTAGATCATATCAGGACAAATCTATGATATTAAAATCGAACCTTGACCCTAATTATCAAGTAAACGAATTAGCACCACGTCGACGCGCCATGTCTGCTTCATGCGCTACTTTATCCTCTAGGCCTAACAATATCATGATTATTATCGATGAAGATGATATCGACTGTCCACCATTACCACCTCGAGATAATTTACTCAAACCAAGTTTAGATTCTATGCAAAGTCAAAAAATGTTTAACGAGTATCCTCCAATGCAGACCAAGTTTACTACAGCTGGATATTGTCGTGATCCGTCCCTTCCTCCACCACTACCACCGCGCAAGATATCCGCTGGTGACATCATCTTGACATCCAGCAGTGGTAAGTTGTAGCTATCTAAAGTCAGCCTATTATATTATTTTGATTGCAGAAATTTGTTATATTGATGTTTGGTCTGGTACCAATAGCTACTTCAATAACAATTTATAGTAACCGATAAATGTTACTATAAAGGAATATAATACAATCTATACTGAATTTAGGCTATATTATCTTCGTATTAAATGCCTTTCTATTAACATATTTAGTACCTTGTTGTTTATAAAATTTAATATTTTAATTGTAGCTGAAATTCAAGTAATACGATTATTGTTGTCAAATTTTTAATTCTGTCGATAGGAGCAATTCAAGCTTTAATTCATCAAAGTTCTACAGATCGAAATAACACAAGTGGTATGGAAAATTTAAGCGAAGATAACATTGATCAAAACCCTTCAAATGATAGCAATAATAGGGATAACAGGTGATTGTCCAGTATAATTAATCTATATCGCGCTAATAACATCACATTTGCTAAGGATATTATGATGTTATGTAATAAATTCGTTATATACAGTAGTCAGTTGTGTTCCATAATACAGACATATAACACTAGCACGGTGCACTCAGAGATTATTTTTTGATGGCTAATTTTGTTATTATATCACCTACTTTTAGAGCTCATAGCTCAAGGATATCCGAACAATTAGATAAAAATGCTTGGTTTAAGCCACACCTAACTCGGTAAATTTTATTAGTTGGTAATAAATTTATGGTACTTTAGACAATTTTTGATCATTGAGTTGGTTATATTTTTTGTTATCAATTAAAATGCTCTAGATAGCATGTTATCGCACCACAAACTCGTATATAGTGTTCTCAGGATAGTATTTCTAAATAATAAAATCGTCAACTCTATAAGGATCAATTTTGATTATCTATTTAGAAAGCAAACAGAAGCAAAATTACTTGAGTACGATCACATTGGGAGATTTCTTATCAGAAAAAGTAAAAGCGATCCACATAATTATGCTCTATCACTTGTTGCTCCAAGCTCTAAACCGGATGATGAAGCTATGATCTATCATTATAAGATTCTAATGAACAATGGTCGACCTAATATAGAGGTTGTATTAATATTTGCAATAGATAATGGTTTTATAGAAAGGTTATTATACATTGCATGCAGCATTTTACTAATTGTATACCTAATTGGCTATTATAGGGCTTTGACAAGACGTTTGATAGCGTTCCAGACTTGGTTGAATACTATTCTAAAATACCTGACCTAGTTTGTGCGCTTAAGCCGTAATAGTTATTGTACTACAAATATATAAAATACATCTAAGTAGTATAATATTGTATTTCTTGATCGAAATGAGTTTGATGTTGATTTTGATTTATTTTCTGGCAAAGTTCATATTTATAATATTCTTTAATAGTACCATAGTTATTTGTCGAGAGTGTATTTTTCTTTCATGATTGAAGTTCATGATTTCATAGCCTAATTGCAATATACGAAGAAAAATGACAATGCTTTCCCCATTGAATCAAAACGATAATTATCCTTTACATGTAACCTAGACGTAATCGTAGACATGGCAGCTACATTGTCTATTGTGATATTTCGGAAGGTTGAGACTTCGGTATTAGTCGCAATAAAGTACAATAGAATAGTTAACGGAAGAGTAACCTTTATTGAGCTAGTGTACGAGAATAATCATGTAAGATTATCGTGCGAGTAACAACGTGATTAGTCGAATAACTATAGTAGTGTAGAATAGGTAAAGCGTGTAACGGTGTTAGCTTACCGTGTAACTACCAGAACTAACTAACGAAATAGACGAAAAAACATAGCTTTTATAATGTTAGCAGCACAGTAGGAGGAAATTATTTATAGACGCGAATGATTCATGAAAATAGGTTACCTCTATGTTAAGCTAGTGCTACGGTATAATCTAGCTAGAGTAGAGTACAAAATATTTCTACAGAGTAAATTGTTAAATATAGATCATACATATTTAAAGTTATGTTACAGTCTTAGAGTTATGCTACGGTCTAGTGAAAACTAGTACTTTTACTAAAAATAGGCTATACCACATTTAGAAGTAAACACCTCATCTATAACTAATGATTAAATAAGAATAAGAGCTACAATCTTGGGATAGTCACTCTTATCGATTATCGTATGCATTGGAAATCTGCTGACTTCTTGTAGATACCATAGTGTACTCTATAAGGGTGAATGTCAGTCGATGCTTTCTGATAACATTTTGAGTCTATTTTCGTACAATAAAGTATCAGATAATACAAATTTATATTTGCTGCTAAGTATTACAAATCCGTTTTACTCGAGAAAGCGACTATAAGTCATGTAGTTCAATCATTTTAAACGTTAATAATATCAACATAATATACAATCTTAATTCTAAATACCGATAATTTGGTGACATAATACAGCATAATTTAGATATCGAGTTAATAATGAAGCTAATAGGGTTTGATACATGCTAAAAATATCCAGCTCTGCAATAGTATACTGTAAATGTTGTGCTTTTACTTAAACAAATCGTGCATTACATTAATAGATCGAAATAGTATGCATAGATATCATCAATTGGAAGAAGCTAATGATCGTAGTGTTGTAAAAAAATAATCTATAATATAATTTTTGGAATTATATTTTCCCGTTGAAAAGTTTAGGTATGGAGCATAGTTTACTGATTGCTAACTGAAACAGTTTTTAATAGCAATACCATTAATTAAATTCAGTAACGACATATTGTTTTTGAACTGGTTTTAATAAATCCGAATTAGACTTTATCAAAATGTTATTTGAAATTCATAGCATAGATGCTTTGATGATAGCGCATAGTACATTATAGTTGTACGAGTTTAGTATAAGTATAGTACAAGTTTAGTATAAGTACAGTACAAGTTTAGTATAAGTACAGTATAAGTATAGTACAAGTAAAGTATAAGAACTAGAACAAGAACACTAGCACTAGAACAAGTAATAAACAACTTGAGTGATAATAATATAATTATTAAAACTGAGATTCGCACTCACTGTTTATCGCTTGTGTCGAAAATACTACGGCATATAAACTTGATAACATCTACGAATATCAAGTATTCTTCATTATTACATTTGTGAACGATAAAAAATAGCGTTAATAATCATAACAGGAAGCAAATTGAATTTAAGAGGTGATTTTATTAATAATTTATGTTATTTCTGTACGATCCAACCGTAAATAACTTGATTCTTACACTAGCTATTATTGTCTATAATTGACGAAATTCTACTTTGAAAATAGAAAAAGCTATCGGTATCATCAAGAAAGACTATTGTTAGATAGTTACTGTAATTTTATTTAAACTGTCAACTATTCTGAAGTAATCTCTGTATATAGCAATTACTTTTCATAGTACAGCATAATACTATGATATTAATTCCTAGATATGATGTCAGTGGTTAAAGTTTGTATTGATTGGTGATATACTATGCGGAATCTAAGATGAATTTTCAGTATAAGAAATACGTGTAAGATGGGTACAAATCCAAGACCTAGCTGAAAATCATACAGTAACGAATTTTGCATAACAATTACCGTGCTTTAAAAGCTAGAACATTACAGCAAACACTTTAATCGGATCATGTCCATTTTTCAGCCGATATTATATTGACTAAAGTCAAGCACTGTATACTGTAGGAAAAGGATAATAGACCTAATGGATTAACATCAAATGTCCAATAAGCTTTTAGTTAATTTGATGATGCGATTCTTTAGCTTAAAACTAATAGACGTTCGGTTAAGGTTAATTAGTAACATTATTAATTGGTAATCTAATAAAGCACCTATCTAATATTTTTAGTAGATCTTAAATAATAAATATCTCTTTTAACTAATTTTTTCTCTATATTTGTCGATGCTTAGAGTTATTCTGTTATCAGTATTGTAACAGTAATTCTCATGCTATACATTATTTATTACATAAATTATTTCATTCATTTCAATAATCCTAAAATGAATGTAACGTAACGCAATGGAAGAGAAAAATAATATCAAGGAATCTAGTTAAATACTAATCTTTTGTATTAAATGATCAATTGCCAAGATCTGGTTATCTTTATGCCTTCGACGATATACTATCGGAAAAAGGTATCATATACCTAGCAAACTAACATAACAACTTCGACAGGATATCTCTAAAAAATTAGGGGAATTTTCTGGATTATCAATGATTTAAATAATATTTATAAAATGACAAAAAATGTTAAATTTATGATACCATTCTTTAGCTCCCAATTGGTCGATGATAGAACGACTTTCATTATTTGGTATCTAATAGCGATCTTATCCAGGTCGCAGGCTATATGTAGTAGTTATTAGTTGATAGATATTTTCGCTCATTAATTCTATCTTCCATTTTAGTCGACATTCAAAATTTATTTGTTATCATCAATAATAGGACAACAATTCTCGCACGACGTGTTGAAGTTTTCATCAATAGGATAATTAACTAATCAATGAATTCCTCAATTCCAAGGTGAATTTAGGTTTCATGTGCAATAGAAGAAAAATCATTAGCATAGTAAAGTTTAATTAAGTTGCTAATTCTAGGCATTCAGCGATAGACAGTTCATAATATAGTATTGTCCGTTGGCTCATGATTTCGATCGTAATTGATAATATAGCATGACTCATAAAATGATAAATCGTATGATTCATAGCACTATTGTTTAGTTACTGTCAATATCATTAGTTTATTTGGCTCCCGATGAGAAGAAAGTTCAATTCCGAAGGTGCAATAGCCTAGTAAACATATTTCAATGAACAATAGCAAAAGCAAAATAAGAAATAATTATCAACTTTGTGTTGATACAGAAGTAGCTGCTTATTTGTAGATATCATAATACATATTTATTCTTGTACACATGTCGTAACGTGGTAACCAATTTTGAGCTACTAAATTCAAAATGCCTCCGGCGATGGCAATGCCCTAGATTATAATAATGATGAATACAATTACTGTTTGTCAATTAATTATGACATTTAATAAGATCAAGTTATTCTTGCATTTGCCTAATATTGTCGATTAAGCAGGAGACAAGATCGCATTTTGGATTGATTGAAAACGTTGATTGATTTTATTATTTAACTCTAGTCTTCAATCTTTCCATCGCTATTGTAATTATTATTCATTCTCTATTGCAGTACGATAACCAGGGGCTTGCCGAACTATCAATCATTATGTAAGCTAGGCTTGTCTGAAAATCGGTCTAGTAGAATATATATTAGTAATATATTGAAAGCCTACTTAGCATGCCATTGGATTTCCTCTGCTTACTTTACCAAAGTTATATTGATTTGAATGCTATCCGATGACATTAGCTTGTATTACAATGAACATTATCTACCTATGTTGTGCTTTACTGGCATAATGATTGTTATAATAGCCATCAATATTAAGTCACTTTACTTATACAACAAGAGCTTGCACGATACTGTTAAAGCCTATTAGTTACTCTTGGCTACAATCTAATCGCTATTATTATCTGGTGTAGAATATAGACTGAAAGGGTGTGCATAAGTTAGTAGCCAGCTCTAGCCTGCATTAAAGTAAATCTATTAAAGTTGTATATTTTACATTACTTTATGTTATCAATCGGTATACGAGAAGAAAGTTTAACATTGGCATCTGACCGAAAATTTTGTGCTTCTAACCCGGAAGGACTTCCCGGAAGCCTACTTTCTATACGATTTCCAATTAGTCTACAATAGCGTTAAGCCATTAACGATTTTCTGTTATAGTTATACTGTAAAAGGCTGATTTACTTCTTGACTGGACAATAGAAGAAGGTACTAATCCTTTATTATTATGCAGTGCGTCATAAAGTGCAGAAATGCAATCGAATATTAAAGAGAGAAAAATAGACGGCTTTTACTGTATTTGTATTCAACTGCATTGTTATGACTACTATTATATCCTGCTGCTAGATAAGTGATAAAATCAGAAAAACAAAACAATAATAATTCTATTAAACCCCTTAAAAAAACATAGTTACAACAAAGAATACTATTGATATAATAAGTCCATCAGTCAAGGTTAACGATTACTAGATTTAAAATATTATACAGCATTTGTTTAAAATATGACTTGTTATTCTAATCGTCAAGCATTATCATGGTAATCCATAAATCTATCTTGTGTCTGTATCACACGACTTTGAAACAGTTAAATAATTAATTGATTGAAGGCTGCAAAAGTAGCTTAAAGTACTATGTAAGTGCACACGACATGCAG